GTGCTCCTGGAGCCCAAGAAAGGGACTGAGTTGCTCTGGGTGAGAAGGATCAGGAAGCAGTATTGGTTCCCCAGGTGTCTGGGGCCCCGAGACTAGGAATGGCGCAGGGCCCAAACTAGGAGTATAGAATGGCGAGGGGGGGGATGGAAAGGTGAATGTGGCTTAGGGAGTCCCGGCGTGGAGAGCTGCGCTGTAGACTTACCCCAAGAGGCCTGAGGATAGTAGTCTGTTCCTTTTATTTTTACTAGGACATTCTCTACTCATGTGACCTGGCTTTCCACATGAGAAACAGACCCCCTCATTATTGGTCTGAGGCCTGCTTTTAAGATTCTGAATATAGGCACTGAAATGCTGTCCCTTAATTGCTGCAGCATAGGCCATCCCTTGGACCACTGCTGGTGAGGCATTTATGTAAGCTTTTACATAATCCTGTAAAGAGCCTGTTTTCTTAATTGGCCTTATTAATTGTTTACATAGAGAGTTAGCATTTTCCCAAGCCAATTGTTTTAATAAAATTTTTGATCCCTCAGATGAGAGCATCATCCTTTGCAATGCTTTTTCCAATCTTGCTATAAAACCCTCATATGGTTCTTTCTGTTTTTGTCTAATTCCAGAAAGAACAGTGGTTGTACCACCTGTTCTTGGAAGCTTTCTCCAGGCTGCTGCTGCCAATTTAGAAATTTTTTTAACACTGTTTTTGGTATATTAATACTCAAACTGATAAGAAGAGGCCCTTATTCTTTGACTGAGAATGTTCCATGATTATTACCAGTTACCTTTTTGTCTTCTTAACCTGGTCATCCTTTACCAGTGGGCCTGCAGCACCCTGACGAGGTCCTATCCTTGTCTGAAATTATTAAAAAGAGAGAAAAGGGGAGAGATAGCTTACCCTCCGGGTCCCTGTTCGGGCGGCCACCTGCGATGGACCAGCCCAGACTGGGGCAGTTCAGTCCAACGGGAACAGGGTCGTCGAGAGGGTGGACAAGAGTCGGCGAGTGACAAACAGACACAAAGGAGCTTGGTGAAAGTCTGAGTGTAATTTTTGCAGTTGCAAGGTTTGAGATATATACAGCAAAGATTACAAAAAACCGCAGAACAGTCATGCTAAGATTCACATAATTTTGCCAACATATCTCTCTATCTTATCAACCTGACACTAGACAGTAAATTCCTGTTTTACTGTGTTTTTTCACTGTCAGCCTTTCTCACACACTTAAGATTCTGCTCGACTTTATAGTCCCAAGTCAGGATGGCCTTGATTCATTAAGCACCCCATTAAGCACTTCCAACACCAGTGGTGCCAGGTTGTTACTTTTTTAACGATCTGATAACATTCCTTGCTTGTTTGTAGTGGACCATAGGGCTTCTAAGTTAGTTTAACTCTATAAGTCCCCAAAAGGCTATCTCATGTTAGAGATCCATGAAACCATATTTTTCTCTTATCCTACCAATTTTAAAATACTTTCTATATTTGCTCTTTAATGCTCTCTTATTGATTGTTTATCAAAAGACACCAAGGTGGTCTTGATCTTACCAATTTATCCATGAATTGTAATGAATAACAAGAAACCCTTCTTCTATCTATCTTATCTATCATCTATCTATCATCTATCATCTATCGATCTATGTATCTATCTATGTCTATCTATATA